CGGGAATGCCATCGATGAACGCCCCGTTGACGCCAATCGTTTGCAGCACCTGGAAGTTCCGCGCCGCAGCGCCCGGTGCCCGGTTTCCCATTCAGAAGACGACCGACAGCGGTTGCGCTTGGCCCGACGCCGGTTTCGGTGCTGCAGTGAGACGACGCGTCGAGTCGAAGATCGATCCAAGAAGTGCTCCGAACGGTGGAACCGAACCCCCCACGACGCCCGGGCGTCCCCACCCAACCCCCCGCCGCAGGAGGTTCTGAATTCTTCTCGCGCGGACGACTTGGACGACTCGCGTTACGTCACGGGCCACGGCGCGTTGATCAAAGAGAGCCACGGCCCATCCAAACCCACCGCCTGACTCACCTGCGCGGGCGAGCCAAGGTGTAGCAGGGACGGCAGCAGGCGCACTGGGCAGCAGAGGTCCAGGAGAATGTCACAGCTTCAAGTACCATGAAAACATACTAGAGTTTCCAAAGGCTTAAAACGGGGACGGTAGGCCTACTATTACAACCCAAACACTCCATGTATGCCATATATAGGCATAGGCTATAGGTGGTTTTGGGGGTGAATGCAGGCATATATCGGAGTCTCATGGAGTGTCTGGGTAAGGAGTCAGATCATGTCAGATCTGTCATGATCATGTCGATTCTGCGAAGCTTCGGTTTGGTGGAGCATGGGGGTGAGCTGACGTGCACTCTCTGTCTCTGACTGTTTCGATGCTTCTTCAGGAAAAAGATCGCTGTCCCGGCACATTGACCCCAACCGGAACTGCCCACCTCGGACTCTTGTAGAAGGAGGAAACAAAGAGGCTCTGGCACTGCATGGTGGATGTTGGGAGGGAGTTGACACCGAGTTTCCGCCGTCCCGCCACGCCTTTTTTGCTAAAAGAGACTGCTCTGTGCCGCGGTTGCCTCTAGATTTGATTTACAGTAGGTCCGTCTTGAATGCATTTGATGTTTTGTCAAATGGCGAACCAACAGTCGAACCACAATTTCTTCCATTGTTTCGTCTTGCAGCATTTCGAGTTCTCCTTGCCGGGTATATTTGCGCAAGAGCTTCAACCACCAGCTCCAAAAGAAAGCTGGCAGTCCAGCTAGCCTGAGATGATTGCAGCCTGCTGGCCGAAAACGGGCCGCTCATGACTCACGACCGTGAAAAAGCCATGTCTTCAATTGATCCGCCGAAAACCATAGAAAACCTGAGAAAACCAGCATAACCAGCGACGCCAGCAGTCAGAATGTGCACATGCATCTCAAAATCTCCTGGCCCCCAATTTTCAGGCTCAGCCCTGTGAGGCGCCCTCAGGCGTTCAAGTAGGAGGTGGTGTCCTCAGTGAGGGTCACCAATTCTTCAGCCGAACTCTGGGCAGCCCCGTGCTTCAACCCCAAAAAAGTGAGTCGAGCTCTGAGGAAGCACATGGAAGCTCTACTGCTGGATGGAATAACTGCATGACCCCACTGGGGGTTGCCAGCAGGTTGGAGCCCCCGTCACCGAAACACTCAGTTGGTAGCCTCGTCAGCCAGACTCCATGGGACTGGCATAGGACTGCCGATCACTTGGGGTGGTTGACCTGGGGGTCAATGTAGACAAAGATGGCAGTCCCATGGAGTGTCTGGGGATGAGAAAAAGACTTCGATTCGGTCATGAAATGTCGGGACTCCTCCATGTGGTCTAAGATGTTCAATACAACTTGCAATACACCTGGCGAGCGTATATAGACCCCCAAATAGACAGAAAAGTAGATCCCCACTACAATGTATTGGAAACCGTTTCTATCTATTGGGGGATCACTATAAAGATGTGTTGAGGATCCTTGAGGTATCTTAAGGTGCTGCCGCTCAAGGCTATGAAATCCCTGAGCAAAACCTAACAACTGTTGACGTAACAAACTATAGCTCCTACACTCCCTGGAACTCATATGGAAGTGGACGGCACCTTTTTCCTCTACAAACTAAGGGTTTTTTTCCGCTTCTATGTTAGTTCCATGTGGAATGAACCGTCGGCCTGCTACGTGGTCATTAGTGGTCCAGGTGGGAATGCCCAGTGTGTACATTGGGATCCACCAAGGCTTGCGTCATTGAGCCCTGGTTCTTTCGCCCCTTCGACTGTCGTGACACGGATGTTCGATCGCAGAAAGCGGCTTCGACTGTCTGATCGACACAAAGGAAGCTTAGCGGGGCTCGAAGTATCAGAGAAGGAGAGAGAAGGAGACCGAGTACATCCGAGTACCGGAGACCGGAGCCGGATTCTTCGATCGACCATGTCGGGTGTTTGGGCTTTCAGAAGACTTGACCACTTCGACCGACCGTCACGTGCTTTCGGACCGAAGGACGGCGGAGGACCGGTCGGATGGAGGCACAACGACACCCGGAGCGGACTCATCCCCCAAAACCACTCAAACATACCCCAGACACTCAACGTATGTCATATATATATGTATATATATAATATCCATATATGCCTATACAGACAGGGGTGGTGGTGCCAGGGGGGTCTCAATTGATCGGCATATATGAATGGCAGTCCCATTAATTAGTCGTGTCTGGGTACAACTTGGGGATGCTGCAAATGCACAGCAAATGTACAACGTGCCCACAGGCGCCCATTCATGGCCCCGTTCGCGTTCGTTTGCACCGCACGGCCTGCGCATTCATTCTTTGGAGACCCCATTCTACATTCCCTCAAATCATCTCAAATCAATGACGTGGATGGCACCACCTCTTTCGTATGACAACCATGGTGTGTTGTTCTGTTTTTTGCATTTTTTGGGCCATACCATCCACCGCCCGCGACCATGATGATGGAATGTTCAAAAATAAAGGGGTCGTCATGTAAGCATAATGATATATATATGATATGGGACCATTGGTCACGTCTGGGTCTGTCGGGTCATCACACTGAGTGCTCGGCAATTTGACCCGGCATCTCCCCGATGTTCACCTGCCGCGCGGGACGCAGAAGTGGCCGGCTGCGGGACGAAGTCGGACGAAGGGAGAGAAGGGAGAGAAGGGACAAGGCGAAGAACGTGCGTTTGGGTTCGATGTGCAGAGAAACACAGGATGCGTACATATATTAAATACATATATTTATATACTATTATTGTATAATATATATATAATTAATATATATATATATGTATTAATAGATTTTATATACAGTATAGGATATTCTAGGTGTGATCTTTTGAGCATGTGCAGCATGTCCGCTCACAAGGCTCTTGCAATGGCGGGGAGATGTCGAAACCATGGGAGATGTCACTTTGGCAGCCCCAAATAGCCAACCTTTTCTCTTTAGGAGGTGGTGCCTCTTCCCCACAAACCACCTGATCTCATCCATCTGCAGATTGTTATGCAAGGCAAACGAGGTAGCACAAATCCCTCCTGTTCTTAGCAGGGGGGGCAGCAGCGGCCTCGAAACCAGCAAAGGGCCCCGAAAGGCGCGAAAAGATGCAAAAGGAGGGTTCCGAAAGAGGCTGTACCAGGCTGTGCCCTTGCAGGGTTGCAGGATGATTTCAGGCTTTGCTGCAAGTTTCTCCTCCATTTATGGAGCTTCACGGGCTTCGTGTGATGTTTTGTCAGCAAAACCTCCGCCTGTCCATCTCTGTAATCCTTGCCACTCCAATCAAATCTCTTGCATCCATGCGAAGGATGTGCAGAGTCGATGCGAAACTGAGTCGAGCATCGCTTAGTGACATGGGTAGCGGAGACTTCCGTGCGGGCGCGAAAGGAAAGCCAAATCGTCAAACAACTGGCACGAGTACCGTCATATGCAGCTTGTGAACAGGTTGCAAAGTAACAATGACCCCCAGCTCGTGTCCTTTGACCTCCTTGACGAAGTGCTGTGGGAATATCCTGCTTTTGGACCATAGCTACAGCTATTGTCAAGGAGGACAACTCCTGCCATGGCAACAACCCCATTCTTCCTGCGGCAGCCGCAGCGGCAACCACCATATCCGCTTTGCAATGGCAACACACATGCAAAAACGGGCTCTTTGGAACATTTATATTCTAAATACAGCACTAGAAGGGCTCCTGTTGGGTATGACATGGTATGATCCCTGCTTGGTTCGGGCCATGGTCTGATTCCTCCAGTACTCAGCGTGAAAGGAAGCGACCGAGCGAACCGACGGTGGTTCCCCCCACAAAAACACCTCGTTCTGCATCCATCTCTCTTCATACATCTTCGGCCAAGTGTATTGGCCTCCTGACGCATGCACTGCTGTGTAGAGTCGGACATCATGCTATATCCACTCCATATGCATGTAGAAAGGTAAAATCCCTTTCCAAAAATGTATTGGAAACCGTGCCACGATCTATTTGGGGACCAGTATACATTGGGGTGGTCTGTCTTCAGGGGGCCATGTCAACATATTAGTCCAGTCCCATCGGTCATGATCGGTCGTCTCGGTCGGCTTCTCGTGTTCTACATCGGTCACCACGAGGACCTTCCACCGCGCCTCGAAACGCTCCTGGACCTTCTGCAAGACCTGCGAGGATGATCGGTGTTTCCGTCGTGGAGATGAGATGCGATTTGAGATGCTTTGACCTGAAAGGATTGGCTGCGTCCTTTTGACCCCGCAGGTGGTGGGGTGCTGGCAATAACCAGCACCATCCCATCTACATGTATCATTGTCTGGACTGCTGTGGGTGTGTGTGTGCTCTATCTTTTTGGAATGGCAACTACAATCAGAATCAATCATATAATACGTATACTTAAAGAGTCGTCAACTAGCCAAAGATCTCAACGCACGAGGACTGCAACTGTATCAGCCATCCAAAAACTAACTCTTGAATCCAGGTTCAGTCTTCCAACATCCAGATTGAAAAATTGCCAAATATAGTTCATGACTAATTATAAATTAGACAATTAGCGCAGCCTTCTCAGAACTCGTGGCTCAAAGCCGTTGAAGACATTCTTCTGGCAAACCCTTCATTACATAAATCCAGCCTTTGGGGCATTGAGCCACAAGTCTGTCTCGGGCGTGGCTGGAGACAGAAAAATTAAGTTTGGAAAGCGACACTGTCTCGGTGCTTCTGAAGTGTGCTTCTGACTGCGTTTCGAAGGCAACGCGTCAAGTCCACAGTCCACTGCTGCCCCGAAGCCCCTGCCCCCGTCCGTCTCGCCTCTTGGTCTTCATCGGTGGCCACAAAGGTCAGCGCCAAGCCCTTCGTGCCGAAGCGCCCCGCGCGGCCCACGCGGTGCCTCGGGGCCAAGAGCAACAGCAAGAGCAGTAAAAGCCGAAAGAGCTGCAAGGGCAATGAGAGCAGCAGCAAGCACAAGGAGCAAGAACAGCAAGAGCAGCGGGCTGCTGGGGCACTGCCTGGTGCATGATATGTATAGCAGGAAAATGCCAGCTCGACGTCAGCTCCTTTCAGTTCCAGCATCAGCAGCCACCTCCTGCAGTCACTGAATCCGCTAAGCCGACTCTTTGCGCCTGTCGAGCCTAAGTACTAAGAGGTGTAAATGAAGCAAAGATACAATGGGTAAATTCGGCGTAAACGAACATGAGGAGGATGAGAAGCCCAAGGAGCAAACGCCCGTCAAGGAAAAAAAGGAAGAGAAACAGAAACATCGCACCAATTCCATGAAACACGTCCTCCAACCTACTAGCGATGGCCTCCAACCTACTACTATAGCAATGGCCTCGAACCTACTAGCGATGGCCTCCAACCGAGAAGCGATGGCCTCCATGCGAAACAAACTGTACATGAGGCTTAGGGATTCCAAGCCTGAAGCGTCAAAAAGAACGCCAATCCCCATGATGCCAGTTGACAGTGGTGCAGCGGCACACAAAATGCAGGCTCAGCGGCAAGTAAGAGTCGCTCTCGTCTGGCATGTCGTAGTTAATCACGATGTTGACCTCAGTCCCACCATGGAAGAGCCCAAGATTCTCAAAGAATAATCCCAAAAATGTCGTCTGAGCAGGTCATAATGTTATTACATAATCTTCCCGCCGGGTGTGGAATCGCACGTGTAGTCGTGCAAATTTTGATTCAAAAGTGCAAGCCCTCTCAGTACTTTTGCTTGTTCGATGATGTTTTTGGGGGGTCCCGGATCCTTTCATTTCTAAAGCCGAATCTGCCGAAACCCAAGCGCCAGTGCAAAATCCGTCGCCGTTTTTGTCCCGGGCTGTCCTCAACTTTCATGCGTCCTGTCTCAAGCAGACTTGCGCAGTTTTTTTGCACAAGTTAGTACACGTGGTGTTTTCCCAACGCCACTGCCATCCGCGAATCACACGACTAATCGATGACAATGTTATGAAACCGATGACAATGCTATGAAGCCGAAGAGTACTTGTCGTGAAATCGATGACAATGTTCTCAGCATGACATCCACATCCTCATTCCATCACCCCCCCCCACCCCATTTTAATCACACGACTAATCGATGACAATGTTATCAAACCGATGACAATGCTATGAAACCGAAGATAATGTGATGAAACCGATGACAATGCTATGAAACCTAAGATTACTTGTCGTGAAAACGATGACAGTGTTCTCATCCCACCCCACCCCAACCCCCCACCTTTCACGTAGCATCAACTTCGAAAATCGCAGTAGTCACACGTTCGGTTTTACACCCGTAGGCATAATCTTGAATAAACCTCCCAAGCCCTAATCTAAGCGAACCCAACCATCTCCCATGCACCCCAAAATAACGTTTAAAAGAAGACACCTCAAAACCAGCCCTCTGCTGGCCGGAAAAAAACTCACGTGCCCGATCGTGCCCGGCCAATTTCGGCAGGTGGCTCTTTCAATGTCGATACCTCGCCCAAAAAGGTCGGTGGCGACCAGGATGCGCTTCTGGAACTCCTTAAACTGCTTATACCTGCCGAGGTCGAGGTCGACGCTACCGGAGACCGCGATCCGCCGGAGGGCGAAAACGCGATCCCTCGCTTGCCGGACGGGCGTTTTGAGGGATGCAAACATTCAAGATCACCACCTGAAGTTCGGGGCGCCTGAAGTTAGGGTACAGGATTGTCTGAATTCACAAATCCTTGACATGGATCACCACCTGAAGTTCAGAGCCAAGCCTTGAGATCCAAACGAAATCCTCCAAAGGTCGTTTCGCACCTGGCAATCCTCTCATCCTGCTGCAGCCCTGAGTGGATCGCGATGGAGGGGAAGTTGCACTCCACCTGCCACCGCGAGGTGCCGCTGTCTACGCTCCGCAACCGGCCGTGCCCCCGGCGCCACCGGCCGGTGTGCATCGGAGCGGAGAACGACCAGAACGACCACCGTGCTTCCGCCCGGTCTTCCGCCCGGTCCGGTCTAGTCTCTTCTCCGAACATGCATGGAAAGATGTATGCCCTAATAGATGTGTATATATGATTGCCTAATATTGTCCTGTCTATATGTTTTGACCCCTGAGACCACCCTGTAGATGAATAAGCCATGAATAGAATGTCTGGGATTGCAATATGAACCAGACTGTACACATCCTCAGCGAAGAAGACTGTCACTGTGGACTCCACATTCTCAATAACCTGTGGTCTTTGGCACCGATCTCAAAAAAAAACACTTGATGCATAATACCATGCTTTGGGTCGAGTCTATCCTATCACCTGTAACAGTGAATGATGATGATGATGATGGTTAGTAAAGGCCTTGTCCCAAAATAGTGATATTTGTTTACTGACTGTTACAGGTAATGGGACAGACCCCAACCATGCATGTCCTTTTGCAACACAACAACTTGTTCAAGGCTGGTCTCATCTCTGAACGCCGTAGATCGACTCTGGTCCAACCAACACAGCAATGCATAGGACCAGTGGTGAAAACCCTGGTCCTTTGCCGGTGGCAGATCCTTTTCCAGTTGTGCAATCTGTTGAGTGTGACTGGCCATCCTATCATACAATATCATTAAATGTTGGGAAGTCCCAAAACAGGGACCAATCTCAATGGTCCAAAGCTGGTGTTTTGTCTTGCCGCTGCTTCACCAAAAGATGTTCCTGGCATCACCTACAAGCAAGTTGTCTGCTGGTTCCTTGCAATTTACATACAGTAAATTACCTGTATACGTGGTGTAAAGCACATGACATGATCAACGATACATACATTATTTACATCAGTCCCGTGCTTTTTGGGGGGCAATACGCCAAAGCATGCCCCTCGGCAGTTCCGTTGAACTCATGTGGCACCTAACCTCTCGGAACTCGCACTTGTGCACAAGTCCGGACACTTGTGCCAAGCGAATTGCACAAGTCTCGGGGTCTTCCTGATCCATCCGAATCAGAAACAGAAACCCCCCATCAGAAAGATACCCGATGGATCAGGAAACGGAAACAGAAAGGTCCAAAAGACTTGCAAAGGTCCAAAACAGAACCCCCCCATCCATCTATCGGACCGACCGACCGACGTGCCACGCCCTTGTTGTCGAAAAACGACGACTGACCGGAGCGGAGCGCCGCACGGCGGCGACGTTCGCGGAGCGCACCAAGAGCTTGTCGAGCGCCACAGCACGCTGCACGGACTTCACGAAGATCACCACCTCGAGGTTTCGAGGTGGACAGCGACAGCTGGGGCGCGGCGTTTGGGGCGACAGCTGGGGCGCTGGAGATGGGTGGGCGGTGATCAACTCCGCAGGGATCCGTTTGCAGGGGGGATTGGCTTCTCAGGTTTGCTTCGAAGTCCATGTTGAAGTTTGGTGGGTTGGAGTTGCCTGAAGGGGTGCGGTCCTTTCGGAAACGATCAGAAAGAAGTGATCTAACAATGATCTAAAATAGAATGACAGAAAGGAAGACAGCCCCCAAAAAGGATTCCAAAGGTGTGCTGAACAAGGTTTTTCAACGTTCTATGTTGGTCGATTCCAGGTCCTTCCATCCTTCCAGGTGGTATTTTGATGTACAGCGCGCACATGCCCTGGGGATCCAGTCGTACCTTCTCAGGTTAGGTGATGTGTTCGACACTGTTATGTAGGTGCCAGGGTCGGGTCCAGTCGTACCTGAGAAGGTACGACTGGATCCCTAGGGCATGTACATCCAGCCTGGGGGCTGGTGGCAAGGTCCGGTCCTCTCTTCCCAATTTGTCACGGGTCTCCCTCCTCGCTCCCTCCGGGCCGGACCGGGGAGCTCAGAACGGCCTGTCCGCCCTGAAGCCCTGACGTCCGAGGCCTCACCTGGTTAAACTCTAAGGCGTCCAACAAGTCGTTGAGCTTTCGATTCTTCTCCTTCTCCGTCAGTTTGACCTCATGGCTGGCACCGGCGGGGGAAAACACACCCCGTACACGCGCCCAGCTGGTGGCTGGGCAGGGTAGATACTTGGGCACGGCGGCGAGATGCGGATCCCTGAAAGAAAGGACTCCAATTGGAGCAACCAGCTAGTAGGCTAGCAAATGCTAGAAGCTATAATAGGTAGACTGCCTGCATGTGCATGTGCAAACTGTCAAACTCATAGCATCTCGCACTACTGGCAGATTCACAGGTACCAGCACCCGACTTCGCAAGTCACCCATTTTCCACCTGGTCTCGACCACCTGGGTCCCTTTGCGCACATCGGACCCAAAAACGCCAAACTTGTTTCCCTCTAGCTACTACAGTAGATGGACCAAATATTCAAACCCATGTATCAATAACTGTCGCCAACCCCTGACCCCCAAAGGTCA